ATGACATGTTCACAGTGATGGACGAAGTATTCAGATCTGTAACTTAAAGTGGACCTATCATGCTATATTTGAAACATATATTGTAGGACCATACCTATATAAAATATGTCTGTGAAGTTTTTTTTCAAAATCTTTCAAACAGATCATGCATTTTAGCCATGCCTCATTTCGTTCTATTTGCTCTTTTCCAGCCTTGTTTTTGCAAGGGCTGATTCTGCTTTTGTGGTAGACTACAGCGCCACTTACAGGCCTGGCATATGTACTACAGCATCTCCAGCGCTTTCGAGCGGTCTCTCATTCCCCTGATAGGTGAAGAGTTGCCCACATAGGCGGAGCACCCCTTTTCTGACATCAGAAAAATTCAAATAATAATCAGCTCCGTTGCAGCCCCGTTTTTAGAGATTTGGGTATGGAGGAAAAGAGAGAGGGTTGTGTTTTCTGACACTTGGTGAGTTCCCTGACACACCGGAGACACATATTCATGTATAAAAGACGTACAAAAGTGCATTTTGGATGATAGGTCCCCTTTAAATGTTCAATGGGTAATGTCTTGCATGTATTAATATATATTTTTGTATTGCCAATGGGTGAATTAACGTAACTTTCACCTTCTCATTTGCCTAACAGTCTGTGAACTGATATTTCAACACAGTCTAACGGCATTTTGTGTTATAGTCACAAAATTAATCTATTGATTCGTGTTCACCAACACAATTTCTCCATTGTTTTCGTGTCACACAGAACGATTTTAAAAGCAATGTAAATAATAACAAATTAGAAGGAAAAAGAGATTTAAAAAAATACAGATTTCAGTATTCTGACACAGAATAATTTTAGAAGCAATGTATTCATATTTGTAGTATGTTTCGTGCCTGAACCAAATAATAAAAAATTTGAAGGAAAAACAGATTAAAAAAATACAGATTTCAGTATTCTGAGGCTCTGAGCCCCATTTATTTTCCTCGCGGATAGCAAAAAGTCAATAGATTACATTAATTTCGTGACTATAACACGAAATGCCGTGAGACTGGGTTAGATATCCATGTAACGACTCAGGCCTATTTTTCTTGTCAAAATCCAAAAAGATGGAACGTATCGAGTGTTCCTGTGCTTTGCCTCTCTTCAGCTAGCATACACTGCCAAACTGTAGCTAGCTGTAACTTAGCAAAATACTGTTTTCATCCAGTCTCCCTGGCTGATCTTTCCGGGAAATTATCCAATTGCTTGTTTTAACCGCACATCTTATTTAAGGTTTTGAACCAAAAACCCACTCAAAAAATGGTGGACGTTGAGAAAATGGAACCAGAAGTGGTAAAATGCTAATTCATTTCAGGGATTTGGAACTCATTCCTGCCACACAAGCACCTATTGTGATACATTGGGAGAAACCAAGCATTGCGGCACCTGGAATTTTTGCCATTTCAGTAAACCTTTCTGATTAGGATTACTTCATTTTCTAATTTATCAGCATATTATTTTTTAGGAGCCGATGTATCCACAGAGGTGTCCTCCTCAGCAGTTTCACTTTCAAAACCAGTGTTTCCTTGGTGAACACCAATGGAGCAGCTACGAGCTAAAGGCTAACGAATGCTCCATCTGTTTCTTGAATAACTGAAGTTCCGGGGACAATGGCTAAAATCCTTTATCTTGTAAAAACAACTCAATTTTCAAATATGTTTTTTGGCACATGTATAAATGATAAGTCAGGAGAGTAACTAGTAGATACAGTTGTTCCATAGAGTCTCTAAAAGTACAATGGGAGCCAGAGCCTTTTCTTATCAAGCTCCACTTTTGTGGAATCAGCTTCCAGTTTGTGTTCGGGCGGCAGACACCCTATCCGTTTTTAAGAGTGTGCTTAAGACCTTCCTTTTTGATAAAGCTTATAGTTAGGGCTGATTAGATTCAGCCCCTAGTTTTACTGATATAGGCTTAGTTTGTCGGGGGACATCTTACTTCTTCCTTCTCTCTGTCTATACCTGTGTACTCTCATGTTCCGATTAACCCAGCTTCCCCAAATGTATTTCTTTTTGGTGTCTATATACGCTGGGATCCGGAGTCATGGATGATCCTGAGGTCCTGTGCACTGGATCGCGAGCCCTGGATCTTGAGTCGTGGCTGTGGTCCTGGATCATAGGTCCTGGATGGATATCCTCGTAGATTCATCTTCCTATTATGCACACATGCATTTCCAAACATTTGGACTATCTATGCTGCAAATGTATTATCTTTTCAATTCACACACGGCATCTATTGCACGTCCGTCTGTCCTGGGAGAGGGATCCCTCCTCTGTTGCTCTCCCTGAGGTTTCTCCCATTTTTCCTTTTAAACTGTACGTTTTCTCCAGAAGTTTTTCCTTGTACGATGTGAGGGTCTAAGGACAGAGGGTGTCATGTTGTCATACTGATATTCTGTACAAACTGTGAAGTCCACTGAGACAAATGTAACATTTGTGATATTGGGTTATATAAATAAACATTGATTGATTGATTGGTTGATTGATTGATTGATTGATTGATTGATTGAGTTCCCTCCAGAATTATTGGCACCCCTTTAGTAAAAATGAGCAAAACAAGATGCAAAACATTTATTTATTGTTTTTCCTCATGATATTTCACTCAAGAATATTCACAAACAATCTTATCTTTTCACTGAAGTTAAATTATAAAAATAAATAAATATTGACTTTAAATAAATATTTTTCTCCAAAACACGTGTGCCACAATTATTGGCAACCCAAGAAAATCCTATGATTTAAAATCTAACTGAAGTATATTTCCAGTCATTTCTTACATTTGTAGGTTAACCTGTCTGATTAGGAACTCTTAATTGGTCAATCATGACTTCCGGTTTCACTGGGGTATTAAAATGAGGTGACACAGGCCAAAATTCCCTTTGTCATTCATCACTATGGGAAAGACCAGAGAACACAGTGATGATCTGCGACGAAAAGTTGTTGAGCTGCACAAATTAGGAAATGGATGAGAAAATCTTGAAACTGTTGAAAATGCCCATTTCCACTATCAGGGCAATAAGTAAGAAGTTTAAAGCAACAGGAGATGTTAAGAATCAGGAAGAGGACGTGTGTGTACATCAACACCACACAAAGTGAGGAGGATGGTTCGACTGGCAAAAGAATCTCCAAGGATCACAGCTGGAGAAATGCAGAGGTTAGTTGAGTCTTGGGGTCAGAAAGTCTCCAAAACAACCATCAGACGCCACCTACATCACCACAAGTTGTATGGGAGGGTTGCCAGGAAAAAGCCATTGCTGTCAATTAAAAACATACTAAAGCGCCTACAGTTTGCAAAACGTTACTGGGACTTTGAATGGGACAGGGTTATATGGTCAGATGTGACCAAAATAGAGCTTTTTGGCAACAAACGTCAAAGGTGGGTTTGGCGTAGACAGAAAAGCACCTCATACCCACTGTGAAGTACGGTGGTGGATCTTTGATGTTGTGGGGCTGTTTTTCTTCCAAAGGCTCTGGACATATTCTTGTTAGGATACATGGTATTATGGACTCTATCAAATACCAGCA